ATTTGGGCGCATGCTCTTGATGTTTAGACCTGGTCCCTAGCTCTTCCCTGTTGCTCACTACTTCTTGGCTGCCATGAGATAGGCATTTCTGCTCTGCTGAGCTTTCTCCACCATGATGATTTACCTCAGCAGTTCCAAGACCTAATGGAGCCACCTGACTATGGATTGTAGTTTCTTAAACTGTGAGCCAAACTAAATCCTCCCCGTCTTGAGCTGTTTTCTCAGGCATTCTGCCACAGCAGTAGAGTCTGATTAATACTCTCCAAAACAACCAAAAAGCAGAACCAACACAAACTACACTCTCAGACGTGTTATAAATGTAAACATTTTTTTCAGATTACAATGCCCTGCTCCATTAGCCATGGGTCTCAACCACTGCAATTGCATTCGCTAGATAAGCACGATTTATTATATTGCATCACAAACCAAGTTATCACACTAGGTTTGTATTTTCAACCTTTTGTTATGTATATATTTGTAGATAGCATGGCTTTCGCCAGATAGCACATTTCTAAAAATTGGTATGCTAGGCATGAACTCCAGCATAAACTAAAGATTAGGAAACAAGCACTTCTTTCTAAAGTTTTGCTGATAAAATGTTTTATCAATATCAGCTGATTAAATTTTGCAATATTCAAAGGGCACAAGTATTTTTTTAAGAAACTATTAAGAATTCTAATTTGGTTTAACAGTTGTGGATGTTTATTTTGATTCTATTTTAATTTTGTTTTTTTTTTAATTTTATGAAACACTAAGGATCATCATTATTTTACAACAGTCTAGCATTTGAATATACATAATATAGTAAGGAATTTAGAAGCAGAACTGTCACTAATAGTGTACTCTTTCTGACCCAACACCTGGTTCCCATAGTGTGCCAGAGACAGTCTTGTAAATCATTCCTGTCTTTGTACTATATACAGTTCCCATAGAAAAGGAGATTAGGAAATATTTGTCGAGTGGGTGAATAGAAACTCAGTGAAAGCAGGATCATAAAATAACTCATTTTTAAAATCCTAAGCCAGCTACAAAATACCCATTAGACATGACAAAACATATGCAAGTTGTGAAATATTTATTGCCTAAATTCAGTCATAAGTGGTCATTACATTTAAATGTGTTAAGTCAAGTTGCAGAAGTTTTAAAAAATTACTTTGATTGAATAATGACTGTAAAAATTCCCCCACATATTTAGTAATGGTTGACCCTAGAAAATACATAAACACTGTTTGCCTGTTTGAAAAAACATATTTAAAAAAAGGAGGCTCAGAATTCTTAGGCTCTTACACAACATTTTCAACAGTAACATATATAATTTTATAGAGGCGACACTGAGACCCATCCACAAGAGTTACAGGGATAAGATAGTTATAAGTATTGAAATATACATAAAGTAGGTCACATAATGAGAACCATCAACACATCACTGTGGTTAGTGGCCTATGCACCCAGCTTTGTAACTGACAACATTCAATACTATAATGAATGTTTTGCATTATATCTTGTAGAATTATGAGTAACCAGTACAAACAATACATGGAGTGGTTTATTAAAAAGACTTATACTGCATAAAATAAAACTGATACTTCAAAATAAACAAAAGCTCAGGGCCAGTGAGATTATGAGGTTATAATAAAGTCCCCAATTGTTTTGTATGTAATATGGAATAAATAAAATTTTCTTCATTGTCTGTAATGAACATTTTTAGCAAAAGCTAAAAATTACCCGCCTTTTGGGGCAGGGAAAACTCAGTGTGTAAGAACTTGATTCAAAGTAGGAAACATCCAATTGGTGTAGGAGTTCTGGAGATATTAGGCAATGGCCGTGCACATCATTATGATATTTCATAAATGTATTCTCTGCTCCCTTTTTAACAGTGTCATTCATACCTCTAATATAGGGCTGAAGAACTCATAGGTCAGATGAAAACCACTACGGAAGACAAGAACTAAATACAAAGAAAACAGCAAGAGCTATGTTTTGTTTGTTTGTTTTGAATATACATGTTTTGTCAACTAACGGAGATGCCCAAGGCAGCCAGAAAATCTTAACTACTGTATCAGCTTAGAAACATGAGTAATCTTTTAAAAGTATTACAGAAGTTAACACATTCCTGCATACTTTCCCCATGGCTGCAAATGGGAGAAGTCCTTCTAGATGATTTGAGTGCTTTGCAGTGACTATGAGTTCATTTTTCTCTTAAGATAAAGTTTTTTTTTTTTTTTTTGGTTTTTCGAGATAGGGTTTCTCTGTGTAGCTTTGCGCCTTTCCTGGATCTCGCGCTGTAGCCCAGGCTGGCCTCGAACTCACAGAGATCCGCCTGCCTCTGCCTCCCGAGTGCTGGGATTAAAGGCGTGCACCACCACCGCCCAGCCTTAAGATAAAGTTTTAATGATAAAGTTCAATAAAAATAGCACATTTTTTTTATTTAACCCACATGTCTAAAGCATCCAATTTATAACATTGGAATATCCTCATGCTTTTTTTTTTTAATTTATGAATTGAAATTGATATCTGCTGCCCCTATAGAATTGTGACAATTGAATGATTTAATGTGTGGTAGATATTAGAAAAATGTCTAGAATATTTCAAATTTTTTATATTTCATTGTTATGATTTCTAATATAGTATTTTTAAATTTTTTATTTTATTTGTTTTGATGTGTATGTAGGAATATAGGCCTGTGTGTGTATGTGTGTGTGTGTGTGTACATGCCACTGAAGGCATGTGGAGGTAGAAGAACAATTTGTAAGAGTCAGTTCTCTACTATAAAATGTGGATTCTGGGTATCATTAAACTCAGATGGGCAGCTATCTTGCTGGCCCAATATTGTATATATTGAGTAGATTTTTGCAAACCCCAAGCATTTAAATAATTGACTTAAAATTTTTCTTGTTTAAATATTATAGTTACTTGTACTATCAGCTAATGTTGATAATTAAGACAAAAACTCAAGTTTATATTTTATGTTTTTGTGAAAAATCGTGTGTAATAAGGTGTAATTAATCAAAAATGCAGAATGAGTTACTGCTTTTAAAATCCTCAAAGCTGAAGTAATCAATGCCTAACCGCAAAGCATAAAAAACATAAACATAGACAAAATACCACATTTCTTTTAAAAATATATTGTTCAACATGATTTACTAAGTGAAAAGATTTTGGAAGAGAATTGTCAAAATCCAGTATAGATTTTTGGCTCATGCTATAAAATTCCATAGTTGAATATTTCATTTTAATAAGTCTTCTGCTAGGGAATGATTTTGATCTTTTATGGTTCTTAATGTTACTGATTTTCTTCTTCATCTCAGAAGTCAATAGCTAAGGGAAGATGTGTATTCTGCATGAAAGAAAATTCGTTGAATAGTATTAGTGAGTTTTGCTAAACTTTACATTCTAAGTGCTGAATGAAATAGTAACAATGTCTTTGGTAACTTCTTCATTGAATATATGGCTCAGGATTATTACATAGAGTGATGAATGAATTTGCCTTAGCATGCACAACAAATCTCTTTACACTCATACATCTCATGGCATCATAAATCACATTGGAGCATAAATTATATCACTTGTTTGCTGGCGTTCTTTAGAAAGGTACTGTGAAAGACACAGTCCATGTGATTTACACTCACAATGGAAATAAGATTTTAACAGTTCTCCAGGGAGACTATTAGCAATTTTTAACTTAAGAAAACTATTTTTATCTACCTCTGGATAAACACTCCTTTATATTTTAATTTACATTTGAGTTCACACAGGGGTTTCTGCCATATATTTGCAGTAATAAGAGGCATTTTGTGTAACTGGACACTTTATGTAACTATGGACTTTAGAAATACAACTGTAAGGAAGTGATTAAGGTTGCACAGAATCATATTTTCAAGAATAGGGAGTGGCTGCATATGGCCATGTGCCTTCTCTGTGTCTTGCCGGACAATACTCTATGCTACAGTGGGATTTTCATCAGAAAGAAGTCTTCATTAGACGAAATCCCTAGGCCTTGTGCATTTAGAACAATGAGCCATAATAAAACCTTTGTTCCTCTTTAGAAAGTAGTCTCTTTCTAATGTTTCTGTGTCTAAAGCAATAATCCTGTAGACCATCATCTTTTTATCCTTTTCCCAACACTGTTGTGTAGGCTAGTGGGAGGTAGGCCTGGGTGAAGGAAGCTGGTCATTTAGGGTATGTCTTTAGGACCATGATTCTTTCCTGTTGGGACTCTGTTTTGTTTCTTATTTATCACATTACAAGCTGTCTTTCCTGTCTGTTTCATGTCTACTATATTCCCTGCTTCACATGTCTCTTACCATATCATGGTGTTCTTCCCAAGTGTTTGGAACCAAGTACCAGAAAGAAGCCTCTGAAACTGTGAATGAAGCCTTTCTCCCTTGAGTGGTCTATGCAAATGCAAAAAATGACACATGATACTACTTTTGTAACAGATTCTCGTATAACCATCTTATTGGTTCATTGCTGTTCCCCTTTGTGCCGTAATGTCAGCCATGCTTGCTCAGAGCCAGCATAAGAACTTTCTCAAGCAAAGAATGGCTGCATTGAGTATAGAACCACACTATTTTTGACTCTATGTAATACTGAATCCAATCAATCCTACCTTTCCTTCCCTGTTTTTACTTTAATCTTAAGACTCCAGCATAAAGGGAAACGCCTTATCCTATGTCTTCTTTTGTCTGTCGTCATTGTTACAGTATCAGTTCTGCAAATACGGCAAGACTAATTTTAAAAGATTAAATTATAAAAAAAATCATTTCAATTGTTTTTCAGTGACAGGTTGCCTTTTCCATAACCAGCTAAAAGGGACAATTGAGTAAAAACCTGAAAGTTTTGCGTTCATATCTTAGAATACATCTTCCTATTCTATAGTCACGACCTCAAAGTGTGTCCCTCATTAAAGGTAGAGGCAAGAAAAGGCTTTAATGCCAAACCATCATTCTGCGTTTACACAGGTGATGACAGAAACATAATACTCTTTGTTTTCCTTTTAGATCTCCAACTAAAGACATGGATCCCGAAGAGAAGGAAATTGTGGTTTGGGTTTGCCAGGAGGAAAAGATTGTCTGTGGATTAACCAAACGCACCACCTCCACCGATGTCATCCAGGCTTTGCTGGAGGAACATGAGGCTACCTTTGGAGAGAAGCGATTCCTGCTGGGCAAGGCCAGCGACTACTGCATCGTGGAGAAGTGGAGGGGCTCAGAGCGGGCCCTCCCTCCGCTGACGAGGATCCTGAAGCTGTGGAAGGCGTGGGGAGAGGAGCAGGCCAATATGCAGTTTGTTTTGGTTAAAACAGACGCCTTTCTCCCAGTTCCACTGTGGCGAACGGCCGAAACCAAACTAGTGCAAAATAGTGAAAAACCCTGGGAGCTCAGTCCTGCGAATTACATGAAAACTTTGCCACCGGATAAACAAAAACGAATCGTCCGGAAAACCTTCCGCAAACTGGCTAAAATTAAGCAGGACACGGTTTCTCATGACCGGGACAATATGGAGACTTTGGTTCATCTAATTATTTCTCAGGACCACACTATTCACCAGCAAGTCCAAAGAATGAAAGAGTTAGATATGGAAATTGAAAAATGTGAAGCTAAGATCCACTTGGACCGGGTAGGGAACGATGGGGACGACTATGTTCACGTCGCGTATTCAGTGCCCAGGCTCAGCGAAAATGAGCAGAAGCTCGACTTACAACCCGAGGACAGCCAGGCTCTGGTGGACCTGAATGACAGTGAGGGAATGGCGCAGTTGGAAGAACGATTGCAATACTATAGAGTGCTCATCGAAAAGCTCTCGGCTGAAATTGAGAGAGAGGTGAAGAGCTCGGGCATCGACGGCAGTGAGGATCCAGAGTGGGCAGCTGCAGGTGAGCTAGAAAGCCCGGATTTGGAGAACGTGAAGTGCGATCTGGAGAAAAGTATGAAAGCCGGTTTGAAAATCCACTCTCACTTGAGTGGCATCCAGAAAGAGATTAAGCACAGTGACTCATTGCTTCAGATGAAAGCGAGGGAGTACGAACTCCTAGCCAAGGAGTTCAGTTCGCTGCACATTAGCAACAAAGATGGATGCCAGTTAAAAGAAACCAGAGGGAAGGAATCCGAGGCTCCCGGCAGCTGCGCGGAGATCCCTCCATTAACTCAAAGGGTGTTCAACACATACACAAATGACACAGATTCAGACACTGGCATCAGCTCCAACCACAGCCAGGACTCTGAAACAACGCTGGGCGACGTGCTCCTATTGTCAACTTAAGGCAGAGAGGCCTTCTTTCTGACCATTAGTGATGTTTCGTGTGATGTAGCAAGTAACTCTGTTCCATGTATAACTCTGTGAAAACATAAACTGTGTTAAAATATTCAGTAGTTAATAATAATAATAAAAAAAAACCTAGTGAACATCATTGTTTGTTTTCATAGAGCGTTTCCAATTTGACTTTCTTACAGGTTCAAGCAATGAACTGTGTATCAGGAATGCAGCAGATCTAGCTGGTGATTACATAACGCAGAAACAATGTAATGGGGATTGATTAATGATTCCCCCATGTGAGACATGAGGGACATGAACTTAAAAACAGTTCCCAACTTTGTTCATCAAACTATCCATACTGCAAGCATCAAGAAGTAACATGAACATGTTTGTCATTTTTGACAACATTGTATCATGAGAATGTTTAAGTCTGTATAGTACAGATCCATCACTACATTGTATGTGTCAAATATGGATCAATTCAAATCTTGTCTTTTCAGTAGTCAGACTGTAAAATGCACTGTGTGTGTGTGTGTGTGTGTGTGTGTGTGTGTGTGTGTGTGTGTGTGTGTGTCTCTTCTTGGCTGCTGTCTGCTTAAGTCTAAGGGACAGGAAGCTAGCTGTTGGGACATGTATAATTCCTGACAGTCAATCAGTTTGGGCACAGATGAGACAAAGTCAAGTGCTACGATCAGCGTTTTTTCCCTTCTTCCCCTAAGCAGGTCTAAGATGATCACCAGCTATGCCTAAGTTTTTACTATCTGTTCATTAGATTTTCTATCCACCAGTGCTGTGTGCAAGTTCATTATTTTGGGATGAATAGTGTGGGCTACAGAAGATCTCAGCCATAATTTTATTTATGCCCTCCTAACTGTGTACATTGAAGTGGAATTTACTGTTGTTTGTGTGGATACAGCAGTGTTTTGTTTTCTGGGAACATACAGAGTAGAACTGAATGTTTATTCTCGTATACTACAATCTAGCTATCAGGGGACTTCCCGGGTGCTTAAAACAGCTCAGTACTTTTAAGATGTCCCAAGCACACTAAGGGAAATTCAAGAAAAGAATGGATCATCTGGATTCTGTCTTCACTCACATGAAAAAAATAATGTTTTCCTTGATTTTAAAATAGACGTTTCCTCTCTCTCCTGCCCATCTGCTAGCTTAGTTTTCCTTCTCATCTCTCTTCTCTTTCTCCTTTCTTTGCAGTAAAGGCAGGATGCCATCAGAGCCAAAGTAAATAATTTTATTATTTTGTTGTGAACTGAATGTTGGTGTTCCTTGATTTTCTTCCGTTAGCACATTTCACGCACGTCAGGATACATAAAGCAGAAATGTTTGCCTTTTATACAACTGGTGCAACTTTTAACTGTTCTCTCTTTTTAAGTTTGAAAGTTTTATAGATTTTTTTTTCCAGCTTTGTTGCAGATTCAATGTCTTTAATTTGCTCTTAAAACGTCATGTCCCATTCCTTGCCCTTTACTTGCTTCACGTATCTTTGGGAAGATACTTGCATTTCAATAGTGTTTCACATCTGGGAAGCACCTATGCTACCATTAAAAAAAGATATTTTCAGGCCATACAATAAGAATTTCTATTCCGTGAAAATACTGGGATAAATAGTAAGTGATCGTGTTCACATAAATTATATTTCTAAAAGAAGATTAGAATAGTCATTTGTGAAAGGGAAGTTCATCTGGCTAACAGTCCATCAGATCACTAAAGCACATGCTAAACTGTTGACGTATTGATTGTTACTAATAGAGATTGAATTCAGAAGTTTATCATAAATGATAAGCCATTTGATACTTTGTTTTTCTAAAATGAAAGTTATCTCTTTGGGTTATGTGTTTAGAAAGAAAATAAGTGTTGCACATCTCTGTGTACAATTTGATAGCATTATCTAAAATCAAATACAGGTATGATAATAATTAGTCACAGTTTCTCTATAGGAACTTTGAAATAACTACTGGTTTCACGGTTACTTACAATGATGGTGGATAAGATGCAATTCTGCATTTTACTGTTAAGAATGTTTAAAACTTCTGTTAGAATCCTGACTTTTTAAACTCATTGTAGAATTTGCATTTTCCTTAATATTTAAAATATATTTGTTTTCTTGGTCATTACATTAAGTCACATAGCAATTATTTTCCATGGTGAAACTCTAATAGAGTTAAATATGAACATATTTATACGGATAGAAATAGTGAATGATCTCATGGATACTATGCTATTTATTGTTTAATTGATGGTTAAGCTTATAAATACAGGACTTGAAAGTTTAATGCTTTAATTATCTTGAGAAACTTAGTGAATTACAAACACTTAAGTAGCCTGGCAGATTAACCATGAAATGGCCATATGCAGGTAGAAGAGGCAAGTCACGGTTGACAATGCTTATTTTTCCCAGGACTAGGTTCTCAGAGCATGCCTTGTGCATTGCCCGCCCCCACCTCTGGTGGCCTCTCTCTCCTATACACCGAAATGCTACCGACTTTCTTTTCTTTCATTTTCTCCTCTTTTTTCTTTTTGTTTGTTTTGTTTTTCAAGACAGGGTTTCTCTGTGTAGCCCTGGGTGTCTTGAAACTCCCACTGTAGACCTCAGCCTCCTAAGTGCTGGGATTAAAGACATGCGCCACCACGCCCAGCAACTACCTAAATTCAGCGTGCTTAAAAAAGTGTTCTCTTCTTTCAAATAATTGTGTCCCATCTTGGCAGTTCTAATTTATTATCTCTGAACTTACAAATATTTTGGATGTACTTCTTTGGGGCTTCTCTTCTACGTTGGGCTGTATATATTTATGTAATCATCTCACTCCACTCACCCAGTAGAGTTTTTATCTTACTATTTTATTATCTGCCTTTCCAACTTGATTGGTTATTACTAACTTCTTAGTCTCTTGTTCCATTTGTGAAGTCAATTGCTGAATTGTAAAGGGCTTTAACATGTTTTATGAATATTTTACATCTACATACTTGTGCAGTTTGTATATAAGCATGCATGTAAGCAGGCTTAAAAATATTAGCATGCATACACCCTATAAATTTAGGGAGTAAATACTAAATCTTTACGTTGCTATGAATTTTATCTATGTGACATCATTTTTAATTAACATAAAAATACATTATTGGGGGCACTATATGATATTTCAGTACATTTATACATTTGCATAAAGTTTAAGTCAAGAAAAGCATTCAATTTTTTTTTATTAACAGAGTTTCTAACTTAAAACAACTCATATACCTTTTAATTTAATGGCAATGTTATAACATCTAAGCATGTGCATATGAAAGAAAAAATTGCATCGTGTTGGGTTTGAAGTAGTAGACACTCAAGATCTTTTAAATGCCTAATTAAATCTCTGCATCGTTTTTCTTCTTAATAGCAAAGTTATGATGCTGTATTATTATATAAAAGCTTTTCTAACCCATTAAAATTTTATTTTTGTATTTATTTAAACTTCTACTGTATATGACAAAATATATTTCTGTGGTTACATTTTATAAATTTTCAGAGTAGAATTATTGTTATATTTAAAACATATTTTTCTAGTGACAAAGGAATGCAGCTTAATCCCGAGATAGCTTTAAAAGTAACATTAGACTGCTTCTTTTCATACTGCCTTATTGGTTTGATAAACTTCATGTGATAAATATAAAGTTTCATTTCTTTGAGTTATAACTGATGCAGAAAAATAAAAGATTATTGTATCCTGTCTGAAGTATTTTCTTTATTTAAATAGTTATATTTCAAACAAATTGCAAATCAATTGTAATTACATAATTGCTGCGATAAACTAGCTAACACATTTTATTTTCAAATTGGTTAGTATTTCTTGACAAAACAAATGTGTAGTAAATAATATATAAGAAAACTATTTAATAGGTTTCATATGTACTTGTTCCAATTTCTTATAGAAGTATGCCCCAACTTGTATGCTGATTTTATGCATGGCTTCTTTCTTTTTAAGTGAAGTTATTTCATAGAAGAATGTTCAAGACTTTGTTGGTTCTTTCTACTAGAATTTATTTTGTCGCTGCCTTCCTCAAAGTAAGCATTCAGTATTAACTTTTAAATAACTCATCACTGAAGTCATAAGATCCACTGACTCATTCTATAATCACCACCAAAATCTTTATTGAAAGATTGTATACAGCATCCAGCTAAGCATATAGAAATAAGTTTACACTACTTTCTTCTCCTATATGTCACCATGATTAGAGAAGAGGGACAGTATTTTTTTTTTAGGTCAGCAGAACTTGTGCTTTTAATAACTGTTGAAATTGAGAACTGAAAATTTTAATGCTATTATTATGAATAGATTTATATCTGAAAATCTCTGATTATCTTTGTAATTCAAGTAAGCAATTTACATGTTGTTTTTCTGAAGCAGACATTGAAGATGCTTTTATAAGGGGCTATTTAGATACTGGACTTCATATGCATGTATAATGTAATTGTATATTTACCTTTTGGTAAGGTAGATACATTGTATAAAGCTCACTATGATATCTCATTTCTATTGCTGTGGGCCCACTGCACACATGAGTTCATTCTGACATTAAAGACATCATCTATAATTTATGAATTGTTCTAGAAACAACATATGAATAAATAAGTGTAAATTTAGTTACATAGTCAGGCATAGGTAACCTAACATATCCAGAAGAGTTAGATGATCTCTTAATTCACCATCATACATACATTCTCCTCATTTAGAGATGTGGCTACTCTGGAAAGGGTCCTGCATTGTTCATATGGCGGTCTTTCCTCTGACCTCACTATACTACAATATTCTAACAACACATCAATTCCACAATCAGTCACACTGGTCCACTTCTGATGAGCATTTGGATGATTTCCAATTATTTACTATGTTATTATAATGTCCTTCCAAAAATTTCTATGAGGCAAGATGTAGAAACATTGGCTCAAATGGTGCCAGATGTGTTTTCAATTTTAAGAACGTCTATAGTTCACATATGCGGAAATTAATCTTTTATGATCTGAGTTGGAAATTTGCTTACGATAGACAATGTTATTTTCTATTTGTACATTTAAACTGCAAAGCAAATAAACAAATTATAGTTGTGTAGTTGATCTTACCGGTTACTATTTAATGATGTGCTTTCTGGTCATTGTTTAAAAGGCTGCAAGTAAAATACTTTTCTGTTGATATGATAAAATTCCATACAGAAGGGAGGGTTTATTTGAACTTATGGTTCCAGAGTGATAAGAATCAACTATGGCAGGGAATGGTGGCAGTGTGCAGGAGACAAGGCAACAGAAACACCTGAGAGCTCCAATTGTAAACCACAAACAGGAAGCAGAGATAGCCAACTGGAATTGAAAATGGCACGGGGATTTTTTTTTTTCACTTCTCCAGCCCCAACAATTCTTTTTTTTTATTTTTTTTCGTTTTTCTTTATTAAGAAATGTTCTTCTCACTCTACATACCTCCCACAGATCCACCCTCCTCCCTCCTTCCACCCCCCAGCCCTCCCTCCCAAGCCACCCCACATCCCCACACTCCCAAATCAAGGACTCCAATGGGGGGTCAGCAGAGCCAGGCACACTGAGCCTAGGCAGGTCCAAGCCCCTCCCCACTGCACCAAGGCTGCTCAAGGCGTCACACCACAGGCACCTGGGCTCCCAAAAGCCTGTCCATGCACCAGGGAGGGATCCCAATCCCCCTGCCTGGGTGATCCCCAAAGAGTTCGAGCCAAACAACAGTCTTCCATATCCAGAGGGCCTATCCAGTCCCATGGGGGCTCCACAGCTATTAATCTACAATTCATGGGCTTCCACTAGTGTGGCCGGTCATCTCTGCACGTCTTCCCATCATGATCTCCACGTCCCTCTCCTGCAGACTCCCTCCTCTCTCTCATTGATTGGATTCCAGCAGCTCAGCCTGACCCCACCTTGGAGTGCTGGCAGTGGTCTAGAGGGTGCCTGGACTGGTCTACTTTGGTGACCAGTCTAGTGAATATCCTAACCGTCATCGACACTGGGCTTTGAAACTCCAAAGTTCACCGCCCCGCCCCCCCCCCCCAACGTTATGTACTTCCTCTAGCTATATCTCTTAAACCTATTTTACTGGCACCAGCAACATCTAGCCCAATGGCGGCACGTTCTTCTTCAAACCTCTACAAACTATCATGTCATGTTGTATGATTAATAACTTTAAAAAATAGTTTCTACTTTTTTACATACACATTTATGTTTTAGTTTTAAAACTTGGAGCAATCTAGCATTGCAGGTTTTTTAGTTGTGGAAAATACTGAAACAACTGATTTTATTTAGATGTCTGGAAATTATTTCATAACACTTGGCACAGATTTGTCCCACTGTTATAGAGTAACATCCATTGGTTGTGTGCGAACCAAATTATGATCTACATTAAATCTACTGCTGACTTTTCTATATCATTTTCTTGCTTTGATTTAACTGTGTGTTCATATTATTGTACTACATTATGTTGTTCATACCTTTAGGATGCTTTTAATATTTTGTGTATTAATATGATTTATATATTCCTATTATGTTTTACAAGACATTTCTGTTGACCTTTTTTTTTTTATTTTTGCAATGTGTTCACTATGTTTCAAGCTATAGGAGTATTGTATTACTGTTTTAAATTTGAATCATGCCAAATTTATAACTAACCATGAGGGATGTTGAATTCTTTGATACTAGGACTTATTATCTGAGAACTCTATGTGTTCTTTAGTAGTATTTAAAAGTTTTATTCCGTCCCACCACATGAAATATTAAACTTATTACTCAATGTTTCCCCTTTCTTGTTACAAATTAGTCTCTTCCCATTAGATTATTTAGCTACAAGCTGTCCTTGTGCACTTTGTGTAGAAATTCTTTACTGATGTCATGTGTTAAGTTTACACTCAGTTATGTTTCATCCATTGAGCTCATCATAAACTTGTCTAGTCTTCTATTCTCTTTTTTTTCTCTGATGCCATTTCATGTCAGAATAAGTAATCCAGAAAAAGTAAGAAATGCTTTATAATTTCAACTCTTCTCTGAAAAGAAATTCCTGAACAAAACCAACAAAATCAAAAATAAGACATAGGAATGCAAAGAAATCTGGTATTTTTATTCATTTGTGGAAAATAAAGTCCATGAAGTATCAATATCAAGATATGTATTCTTCACATCGTAAGCTATAAGATGATTGACAATTATCATTTCCTAATTGATCAATATATAGCATTAACAACCTTCAGGATGAATGCTCGTATTAACAACAAAGTTTGGCCTATATTATTTCTTTTTAATGGTATCTTTTTAATGGTAATCTATTGGCACTTACTTAGGGAAGTTTTTATTATAATAGTCTTTCATTACTCATAGAATATTTTAACCCCTGAGCCACTGATGTTTAATACAGATAGTGCCCCTGTTCCCGTAAATTGGGACAAGTAAAAAATGCTCTTTCCAAAGCCCATTTCTTAGCTCTTATATTATCATTCACTAGAAACTTACATTGCCTCCTTTCACACAATGAAGAAATATAGCAGCTTACTTCTAAAAGAAATTAGTACTTGTATTCTTAAAATAAAAGTATAAGAAAATTTGAAAACAGAAGTCTATTATATTGAATTAGGATGAGTAGGGCATTCCATTTAATGTGAGTCAAATCATCATAGGCCAAGCTCTATATCAACTAATGGGGTTATGACATAAAAATAACAGATTTTGGTGTTCATTTCAATTTTGAAGCAGAGTCTTGCTATGTAGCCAATACTGTATGACAAATCTCATGATCCATTTGTCTCAGGCTCTTGAGTTCTGGGATAAGATTCAGTTAGAACCCTGAGGCAGAAGTACTGTGTGCTATAATGTGTTATATGACATTATAATATATATGTGGATATGAATAAACATATAAAATATATCTGTGGTTGATATATTGTGCACCCCAATAAACTTATCTGGGGGTCAGAGAACAGAACAGACACTATATTAAACATAGGTTTAGGCAGTGGTAGCACACGCCTTTAATCTTAGCATTCAGGAGGCAGAGATTCGCCTTGATCTCTCTGAGTTCAAAGCCACACTGAAAACAGCCAGGTATTGTGACACATACCTTTAATTCCAAGAAGTAAGGGCAGGAAGCAGAAAGGTATATAAGGCATGAGGACCAGGAACTAGAGTCTCATTAAGCTTTTGGCTTTTAGCAGCTGTTCAGCTGATATCCATTCAGATGAGGACAGAGAGGCTTCCAGTTTGAGAAAACAGGATCAGCTGAGGAATTGGCAAGGTGAGGTTAGCTGTGGCTTGTTCTGTTTCTCTGATCTTTCAGCATTCACCCCAATATCTGGCTCCTGGGTTTGTTTTTATTAATAAGACCTTCTAACAATTCATGCTACATATATCCATCTACCTATTTGTTTTTGAGATGTATATATATTAGAATGCCGTGATGGATGTTAGCACCATAAAATCTTGTTGATAAACTTCCATAGCTATTGATTGATATTTCTGAAAGTAATAAAGTATTTGTTATTGGGAAAGCTCTGAGTACAGGTCTTCTGCAAATATATTAAAATGAAACTAATATAAATTTATTACAGTATGAGGATGCAAATTTCCCACAGTTCTTATATTTCTTATTTCTAGTGACCATTACTAATAAATTACAACACTAATTATTTTCCTGAGATAAGAAAACAACTGTTTAGGAAAGCAACCACTTGGGAACTCAGACAATGGTCAAACAGAACATCAAGGAGCAAAAGATTAAGAAAATTAACTGGTCCAGCTACAGAGTCTACGATGTCTGTGCATTCAGTCCTTATATCCAAATTATCAGAATGCATGCATCTCACATTTAGAGTTTACAGCCATATTACTGAAGAATAAAGTGAATTTTATGTCCTTCACTCATAAATTAATTCTCAGTTTTGTTTGTAGCAAATTTTTAACACAGTGAAAATAAAGCAGTTTGGAAATAGTGGTGTAGATCAACAACCCTTGCATATTCAGAAAGACTCCTGACGCAATGTGATCTACAAATTTAACCAAGGGCACTGTCCTCCATGTAAATTACAGTTATAACGCATGATAGCTCCAGCCAAAGTCACATTGAAATGACTCATGAAATTTAGTATTTATGCATTTTACAGTCTTTTGAAAGATAAATTATTATGGGCAGATTCTAGAGAGGAATTGTATAGTTTTGTTGGTGATCTCAGTCAGTGCTCTTATAGTTCTATAATCAGCAAGAAATATTGCAAAATCTTTTAAAACAGATGTAAATAGTCATTCTTACTTGAGGCATTACTGGAAGTTACAAGGTTTAGTAGGAAAAGAAGTGTTAAAGGAATCTTAGGATATTATTTGTGGTACTTACTGAAATCTGTAAATAGTTCTACTCATGGTTAAAAGGCCATGCAAGAGTGAAATGTATCTGGAAATAAGCAAATTTCAGTAAACTCCAAATATGTTATGAGATTTAAATGATGTGTGCCAAGTAGCAAATCTATGTGAAAACAAACATGTGTAGATACTATTTATATTTTCACCTTATACTGATGACTTGAGAATCAATACACTTCTATTTTCTCCATAAATGAACTTCTAAATCAAGAATCATTATAAAGATAATTAAGATTGTTTCCTATGTGAGACATATTTCTGACTCTTTGCTGTATTCGTTGACACTGTCACAAATAGCAAACAGCTAGAGGTAAATAGGAAATGATAAATCAACTGCCGGGAATTAGAAGCTTGAATACTTTTGAAATAACCTTGACTTCCAGAAGTCAAATTCTGATCCACAAAATAATGTAAAAATATAAAGGAGACACCAAAATGCTGATTTCAGTTATGTATGTTATGGAGTTTGCTTAGTACAGAAATATTAATTACTTTCATATTTTTAACATTTCTAGTTCCAACATTTTATTTTTGTAGCACCAACAAAATGAATATGAAGTATATTTCTGACAGACATGGAATTAATACTTAAAAAGTCTTTATTTCCTAATATCTCCACATCTGCCTCTTATTTATTTCCAGATTAGTTAGGTAAGGCCATTATCCTTAACTTTAATTGAATATTTTTCCTGTACAATGAGTATAGATC